CAACACAGCGAGAAAATACCGCACCCTGAGGCTGGCTTCACTGGCCCCTAAACAAAAATGTGTACTGGTTCAGTGAAAATGGACGTCACACTAAACTCTGAAACATATAAATGAACTTAAATTAAAAAAAACATACAAGACTAACAAAGGCCAGATGCTCCTGACTTGAGACAGGCGCAAAAGTACGGCGGGGTTAAACATGTTTTGTGAGATCTCATCCCTCCACCTATACCTCTAGCCAATGCATGCTAATAGACACGTCATATTCGAGACAAAAATACATTAATTTTGCCATATTCTCATATATTCTCTTACTTTGGGTAAAGTCATACCTTGGATACCCTAATGCCTGGAACTGTTTAATTCTTACCACGAACGCATAGAAGATCATAGAAACTAAAAATATCGAATCATGTTCCACATTTCATACATCGTTTACAAAAATCGGATTTTACTTAAAAATGTTTTGTTGTTAAATAATATATAAAGAAATGATAACAGAAATTGCAACATTATACAACACAGTACAACAGATCACATCAACCACAAACACCAAACCTATCAAATAAAACTGACATACAAACAAAGACAAACCAAAATAAACAGCACATGTTTAATATTAAACTAAATTAAGAAATGATAGGATTATAGAAAAATGGGGAAAAACAACTTATTACTTATTAGACTTAACGCTAGAACAAATTATCTGTACTGTGTAAAATATCCAATGAAGAAAGTTAAATACAATTTTAAAGTGTATAACTTGAAAGGCAACAATGGTATAGTATGCAATATTTTCTAAAAAAAAAAAACATTATGTCAGTCTTTCAGCATATATCAATTAATTCTGGATAGTTGATAAAATTGATATTTTATATATAGTATAATCATTTATAGAAAAAAAAATGATTGTTAAAATATAATTGTAGAATATGAAATTGATGCAATAACACTGATGTTTCTTATTTAACGTCTAGGGGTTTGTGTCATAAATCATCGTTCTAAAATATTTATTTTTGATAAATCATTTTCATTAGTGAGCTTCCATAAATGTAGCTTTTCACAGGTTAAAAAAATTATTTACGGAGACAGGGGAGTGCTTTCACGATGACTACACAGGAAAATTTTGCTCACGTGAATTTAACACGAATCTCACGTGAAATCCACGTCAACATTCCACGGGAAATTTACCACAAACGAGCCTATACGTGAAACTCATCATGAAAATGTTCACATGAATTGCACGTGAATTCAGATTCACACGAATCTCATGTTAAAAAAAAAATACACGTGATTTCACATGAACTTCACAAACAAAACAATGGGTATTTTTCATGTTTTTATTCAAATTTGAAAATTTTGATGTTATTTGAATATTTTTTTTTTGAAAATTAACGTGAATTTTACATGAAAAAAAATCGTGAGATTTTCACTTGAAATTCACGTGAGTCTCACATAAGGTTCACGGGAGTTTCACGTATAAATTCTTTTGGTGTGAAATTCACTTGAGAGAAATTCCCGTGTGTATGGTTTTAAAAACATTCTTAATTAACTCTATTGTGTTTTGTTGTTTTCAAGCTTATATCGCAACAAAAATAACAAAACCAATAAAAACGTTTCATCTTAAAATCCTGAGTAATTCGAATGATCTCTATTGGGACAGAGACCACGATATGCTATTGAAAACAATAAACGAATATTCAAATGTCTTACGCCTTACCACTCGGAGGAAATAATATAATGTTTTCTTATAAATAATGATAATAAATTATCTTACCACGTTTTGAATCGATCATTTTGCTTTACATGTAAATATTGACTGTTATACTGATTCTCAACCTATGCAGTAAATTTAAAAAATAACTCAGAAAATATAAATTTCGAGTGTCCGACGCGCTTTTCTTGATTAGTCTTTATGAAGAATGCGCAAACCCAATACAATTGAAAACCAGGAATATATCAATAGGAAGGAAGTAAAGGGTGTTCTTAAATGTATACCCAAACGCATCTTAATTTAACTTTGCCTGAGGGAGTTGGGAACTTTCAGTGTGTTCCTTTTTTTGTTAATTAGTCAACGGGGAATTTTAGTAGGTTGAATCACGTCATTACCGGAGAACTGACTACTGATACAATAAGAGTTGAAATTTGAGTCTTGTTTGATTAACAGATCAGGAAATTGAGATCACAAATACATTGTAGGATTACAACCTTATCTATTAAATTGATTACATTTTTATTTGTTCTACAATCCTAATGAACCGTGATGTCTTTTATCTCTTCCATTTGAATAAAAAAGACTTTACAGGCTTTATTGTACGTTTACTTTTATAATATAGTTTGAAGCGATAAGGGATGGACTAGACTTCAATGAAAGAGTTTGAGAGTTTTTCACTGTTGTTTGAGAAAAGTGTACTTTTGTCTTTATAGCAGCAAATTGAAAAGCATAAGCATTACGATTATGTCATTTGTGTATTTTACGGAACCTTTCAGTTATATGTTATTGAGATAATAAGGAGTAATATTGTTTGCAATCATGTTCAAATATGTAAGTCTATATACCTCTCTTCTATCCTTTATATTTCAAATCTTGCTTCCTCATAAAGTGATTTAATTGATGTTAACCGTGATCCTCCACTCAAAATCCGTGCTGGCTCTATTTTGACACTTTTATTTTTTTTTTAAATAAATGCAGATGTATCCAAGACTATATCCGCATATTTGATTGTTGGTCTTATTTAAAAAAAAAAATGAATGGTAAAGTTTTTGGTTTGAAATAAACTCAAATTTCATGTGTATGTTTAATCGAAAACAAATAAAAATGACACTTTCAATTTCGAGCTTCCGAAGCGCCATTCTGGATTAATCTTTAACAAAAACACTCAAATCCAAACAAAAAACCAAGGATGTATAAGACCTAAATCACGCGAAGAGCTATATGACTAAAAGGGACCTAAAGCTATCCTATTCATATAGGTCAACTTTGCCTGAGGGAGATCAAATTTTTCTGTCTGAATAATTTCTTAATTTATCGAATCTTCTTTTTAATCATATCGATATGTTTTTGCTAAAAGCAAATGATTGACAGTATGTATCCAAAATGTGTGTGCGTGTTCATTTACAGTGTCTAAAGGGAAATTATTTATGTACGCTGTGGATGAAATAGTTTAATTTTCCGGAAGTTAATCATACGTTCAGTTTTTTAGCATCATAATTAGCCAACAATTTCTCACACTAACAGTGAATTTTCTAAAAATCTTAATTGTACTTTGCTGCTGCAATATTTAATAAAATACATAACTTGTATCATTTCCTAAAAATTTCATTGTTTACATAATATAGTTACAACATCATTTATAAAGATTAAAAAGAAGACAGTACCAAGGATTGACCAATGAGGAACACCAGCATTAATAACTTGCCACTCTGCCGTTTTACTGTTAGCAACCACTCGTTGGTGTTATATAGATGTTGTCATCTTACTTAATAATAAAAGCTTGGTAATTATGTTGAACGCATCGATCTCTTCGAACTTGAAATAAAAGTAACAACAGATACAGTTAAGCTTTATATCTCAACTTGCATCTGAGTGTCGGTTTAGAACAACATTTTACGACAAAGAGTTGATTTAAGATTCCACCTTTTCTTTGAACTCCTTCTAAAGTTTTATGTCTATCAAAAAATAACAACATACAAACAAATGTTGTACATGCTGTATTGTCGATTTGTGCGCCCGTTAATGCATTGTTATACAAAGACCTAACACAAGTATAAACAAGTTAAAAAAAAAAGATAGATCTTATATTCAACAAATCCGGTGATAAGTACAGTGATGAAATGAAAATGCAGAGCTCTGTATATTATTTAAATATAGCCAAGGCAAATGTTTATGTTTTTCTCTATACGTGTCTGGTGTACATATGCAATAGTGGGGTTACCGTGCTAATAAATTGTATTTGCGAGAAACATACTTCGATAAGCTAGCGAATGGTAAACAAAGTTAGAAAAAGCCAACATTATTTAACAATAGACCAGACAGCAATGTGAGGAATTTTTTTTAGTAGATCAACATAGGTATGCACCTTTTTGTAACAGATCGAATTTGGAAAAGGTAGAATTATGGACTTCATTACTGGTTCGACGAAATATATGTTCCTGTGTAACAAATGGCAAAAAACCCCAAAATAGTTTAGTCTAACAGACCCATTCGTATTAAGAGTCAGTCTGCCATAAAACCATGCAAAATCCCAAATTTCGTCCAAATTGGTAGTTACAACTTGCCAAAATTATATATATTTCCAAAATCTTTAGGTATTCAGGAGTTAAGATAAAAAAAATTTTTTTTTATTAATTTGCGCTATTTTCCATTAAACCGCCTAATTTGCATATTAGTGAATTATTTTAAAAAATGGCTAAAAATTAAAACATTATTTAGGCACTTTTTAAGGGTCTAGATAATTGATATACATGTAGCTCTTAAATGAAATATTATTTTTATCATATTTTGAAGGAATATTAGTTAATAACCAAAAAAAATAGCTTTTTGAAAATTTCGGTCCTTTTGGCAGGTTGCCAGAAAGTTCGCGCAACAGATGTAATAAACAACTTGTATATACTACATGTACTCAAAAGCAGTTTTCTCTCAAGATCATAAAAAATACTCTTAAAATAACCATAAAATGCAATAATTGTAATAGTTTTTGTTTCTTGTTATTTAACTAAAATTGATTAAGTAGGTGGTAATTGGGCTAAAATTGATTTATTTTATGATGAAAAATATTTCTGGCTAAATGTATGTTTTTTTTTCTTGTAATTTGCAAAATTTAACATTAAATTACCCAAAGGTAGCCTCAATGTTATTTTTGTGGTTAAATTGTCTCCCTTAGTGGAAATCTTTCACTGGCAATATGGCAGATTCCAGTGATGAAAAGTTGACGTCTCTGTTCGGTTCGATTTTTCTAATCTTGGAGGTTGTTGTGGACAATCAAAGCACTATTCAACTCATCTGTTAGACAAGGTTTATCTTTGTACAAAGGACACAACCACCACCTTGAATTTATTCACATCACTGAGGGCAGTGAGGCCTGTTTATCAAACTTTCCACATGTTCCAGGAGGACTATTTTATACACATAAGTGACATTGTTTTCTGTTGATCGTGCTGCTATAAAATTGTCAATATGTCCATGCAGATGGCACAGAGACTTTTTTGGGATATATTGGCGGGACTATTCAACAAAGTGTGGATTCAAAGATCGTCCTGCTGACATTAAGGCAAAACTCCAAAAGGGGAAAAGCTGATAGTGATGGAGGAACCACACTAACCCTATCATTGGAATACTGACTTTTGTAATGACAACTAATTCCAAAAGGGTCAGGTAAACTACAAAAATAAATTAGTTAATTATGACAGGGATGGATCTAGCCAATTTAAAAAAAAAGGGGGGGGGGGGGGGGGTTCTTAGCAGATAAAAAGGGAGGTCCATCCATGTGTCCCTATTCAAAAGCATTAATCAGCAAAAAAAAGGGAAGGTTTTAACCAACTGGTCCCCAGTCCAAATATATATGACGTCTTGAAAGGCTATTTTATTTTTTTTGCTTTGACAAGTTTGACGCCTTAATGCAACGCAGGCGCCATGGGCATAGCCAGTAAATAAAATGGCCTTTCAAGACGTCATATTTATTTTGACCACCGGTCCCTCCCTGGATGGATCCACCACTGTATTATGAAAAAAATCATTTTTAAAACTGCCACATATGCATGACATACACAATGTAGTGGCGAGGTATATAATTATGTGATACAATGAACATATATACATGTATTTGGAAAAAGGCATTTATTTCTAATACATGTAGATATGTGATATATGCAACACACACAACCACCATCTAATTGCAAACTGCGAACATGGTAAATTACCAGAAATGAGTCATTAAATATAGAAAAAAATAACCTGCACTACATGTACATGTACATATATTTGATGTCATGAGTAATTACCTCCCATCATTTTTAAACAAAAGCTGACTTCTACAAGTCAGATGAAATATTATGCAATTTTTTCCTCAAAACAAAAATAAAATGTTTTTGACTTCTACAACATGTACAAGTCAGAAATATACCTAAAATGTTAATCTTTTTGGGTCATGCACCCATATTTAAAAGTTAAGAATCCACATGACAATGTTAAAAATGCCTTCCACAAACACTTTTTTATCAACAAAAAATATGAATAAGACCCTAAAAAAACGGAATCATATGAAATTAACCATTTTATGTAAGAATGTATTTGTGATAAATTGTAAAAAAGATTCTGTATAAACAATGGATTTACTTGAAAACCAGCAATAAAAGATAGATTTTGGTATTGTTATGCATCATACAAATATTCATGGTAACTTACTGAAAAGGTTAGCTACAAATCTTAAAATATTGAAACATCACAATCCACTAAACATAATCTGACCTGAATAAGTCGGGCACATTCTGACTTTATGAAGTTTAAAAATACTGTTACTCCTGTGTAAAAATGCATAATCTGACTTGCACAAGTCTTGACAATTCTGACTTGTTTATGTCAGATCTCTGACTGTTTTTGTAAATAAATTAGTTTTAACCTTTAATTTGATAAAACAGATTTGTCTATTATAATTTATTCACTGGCATCATGCCGTAGAACAACAGGTTTATAAATTGATTGATTGTTCACACCTGAAACATTGTTCATCTGGACATTGACATGATCGTGTTTTATTGATGTTTTTAGTGTGTATGGTACCATTGACTGGCTGCATTATTCCATTTTTTCACAAAGGCATACATTGTAGGTCTCTGCAAGCAGTGTTTTACCAAGATTAGACAAACAGTAGCTGATGGAGGAATCATAGTTGATACAAAAAAGATTATGGTAGGAAAACATACATGTACAATGTATGAGAATGTTTTGATATAAAAAAAGAAGTGATTTGAATTGATTGCAAATGTGACAATGCTCCACAAGAGACTAGATGACATAAAAATTAGCAACTATAGGTCACTGTATGGCCTTCAACAATGAACAAAGCCCATACCGCATAGTCAGCTATCAAAGGCCCAGAAATCACAAATGTAAAACTATTTAGAATGAGTAAATATATGTACAAAACAATGAACGAAAAACAGATATGGTATACAGCAACAAACAACAACCACTTTGAGGTTAAATTCGTTTGAAGGCGCCAACCATCATCTAACCTGGGACAGTAGTGTAACAGTACAACATAAGAAATCAATCATGTGTCAGTTGAGGCTTAACTCATCAGATTGACACAAAGCATAAATGCATCTAACAAAATCAGAGATCGGATGTGGCATCCTCACATATTTTATTTACAGGGGCAATTGAAAGGCATTTTAAAATTTTAAACTGATTGTGGGAAGTGGGAAGGGGTGGAGGTTAGGGAATCATGAGAGGACCAGTGGTAAAATTTTTAATCATTACCAACAAAGTGATAATGTCAAAAATATTACTGTAAATTCTGAAATTATTGCGATGTTTTTATTATCGCGAAAAATGCGACAGGGTTATAATCGCACTAATTTAAACTCGCATTTTGAAATTTACTATATGAATCAAACAGGATTTTTCTAAATATTGCAAAAATTAAATTCGCATTTCAGTCTAAAATTACATTACAAAATCGCAGTTACTTATGCACGCAATAATTTCGGAATTTACAGTACTGGGAATAGCTTTGTATTAGTTTTATCATGGACTTGGATTCAATCAAGGACCTCATATAATGACATATTAGAATTTCTTATAAAGATTTATTATTAGGTTATTATGACCTACATTTTCACTTTGACACTAGATATAGTCATGAAACATGTAGTATAGCTATGATATTTGACCAGTGGATAGGTTTTGGTAGAGCAATAGGGTAAATGATAAAAATTAGATCACCTTGACCTACATTTTCCACATGAGTGACATGGTTAAGTTTTTTGCATTAAGGTCAATATCTCGGGTACAAAATTGTATAGCTTTGATACTTAACCAGTGTATTGATTTTGAATAGTCCAACATGATTCACTTTTATAAAGGTAATGTTGACCTACATTTTCCACTGGAGCAACTTTATTAATTTTGTGTGTTTAGGTCTCTCTGTATGATAATAGACATGGTATTACATTGATACTTGACTATAGCTAGTGGATAGATATCTTGGGTAGTACAACATGGTTACTATTGATAAGGTAACTTTGGCCTACAATTTCTGGATGAATTGGTTAAGTTCATGAAGTTTTTGCATTAAGACATTGAGGTTTTATCAGATATACTAGATGTGGTAAAGCAATGATTTTACTCCACCAGTTGAGATATCTTATATTTTTTTTTTCATTGGGTCCCAACCAACTAGATTTTATAGTTATCTCATATATCATGGACATTGTATATTTGAGAATTCATTTATCTTTAATTTAATAAGGGATATATTATTTTTTAAAGTACATTTGTAGATTTATTTTGTATTTTTTTAGATGGAGATGAAAGCCAAATTAAAGATACTCAGGTTCTCATAGGAGTATATTCAGAGCATCAACTAATTTTTCATAATATTTAGCATCAGATTGGGAAACAGATAACATTTCTGACCGGGAGAAACTCAACAGAGGCTTGCATTTCCTTTGAAATGGAAAGTATCCACCATTTAGGAACCAATTGAATCTGGCATGGGATGATGTATCAAACAGTACAATGGCTTTTTCTACAAAATTATGTTTTGACTGAAGCTCTTATTGATGCATACTTACTAACTTCGACCTGAATAGTCATCTGATCTGGCTTCAGATCTTATCACTGTTTGCATGTATTCAGACCGTTTTGCCTGTTTCTCTTTATGGCAGACTTCCCTTATATTATATGACAGTAAAATTATAAGCAAACAGCCTGAATAATTATATAACCATTTTAATGAAAATGTCTGCATCACAGTTGAACCATTTATCTGTATATTTGTTTTTATTCATGTAGGTATAAAATAAATTTTATTTCCATTTGAAATATTTTTGTTTGTCTGTGGTAGTAATAGGCTAACTACATCTTTCATGTCTTATTCACATGCCTCAAGTTATTGGAGATTACATACTATGAGGAAACTTAACATTGTTGTTATGTCGACTGTTATCCTAGAAGCTACATAGGGATCACTATCTGTCATTCATGTCAGCGTCACAATTTAAGTAAAACTTTTCTCAGCATCTGCTTGATATTTGACAAAAAGCTTATAAAGATTAATTCCAATATAATAAAAAAAAAATGGACCCCCTTTTCTAGGTAAGAAGCACCCAGTCTCAATTTTTATATGTGTATGTAATATCATCAAATACAACATGTATTTAAATATCAAGACTGAACAAAAGTGGCCATATCTATTTTAGGACAACAAATGTCTAAAACTAGCACAAATGTTAAAATTGTGAGGATTTCAGAAATTTTACATAAATTAATGATGACAGTACCTGTTGAATGTTCATTGTATTGTAAAAAAAAAACAGCCCATTAAAAAATGATTTTAAAGTAACTGAAGTATTCTACTTTTGAAAAGTGACTTCAATAAGTAGCGATAAGTTAATACATGTAATTGAAAAAATGCTAAATTTTGGGGCTTAAAAGGGGTCTTACCAGGCCAAATCCGTAGTATATTTTCAATTAAAACTAAGTTAAACTGAGTTTAATCAAACAAGATAAGCAATAAACATTATATCTGTCATTATTTTCTTATATTTTTACTATCACATACATTTGTAAAGTTTCTCTTGTAACCAATAAAAAAATCATAAATACGGCAAAATTGCCATCTTGTCCATCTTAAATTGTTATTTTATCGTAAGAAGGTATCATTTGCCGAGCACCATTTTCTTGTATTTTGTAGATAAATATATAAGATTCATGCTGTTTTACATTCTATTAAAAACAAAACATGATCTTACAAGATTCAGGTCTTTAAAAAAGACAAATTTTGCTGAATCGGCACTTTTTCAAAACCATGCAATATCAACCTGTCAGAAGGGTTATTGTGAAATGTCCAAACTTTGAAAACTATCCTAATTTTTTTTAAGTTGTTTGTTAAGGTATTAGTTATCATTAAGCTGCAATTTTTCTATAATAATACAAAAACCAGGTCAAAATACCCTAAAATAGGCTTAAAATGGCCTTTTGTCAGTACAGAAATGGACAATTATCGAATGTTCTACATACACAAATAATGGCTGAATATTTTTTCAAAATATTTTGCACAAATAGTTATTACATATAAGGTATCAAAAATACAAAATATCAGTCTGATTGGATAATTTTGGATTCGGACCATTTTGCATGATTTTACCACAGACTGGCTCTTAAGACAAACTATTATGTTCATATGTATGTCATTGTATGCTTTACGTGGACATTTCACAAATCAAGATAACAATTGATTAGAGTATACATGTCTGTTACAGAAAAAAAAAAACAAACAAAACAGGAACCATTTCTTTAAAGCTGTAATCAAGACCGTCTTTTAAATTTGGCCACAATGCAGCCGAGCATGTCAATGAAAACAATTATAACTGTAATAAAACAAATGAAGACGACTCCAACATATCCTACGAATGTAGCCGATACACGATCACCTGGAGCTGACATTTTTGAACGACGCATACTGGTTGTATTGGATTTGTTGATGCTTAGTTATTTTTTCATTAAGCCTAATTCTGGCTTCAGTATTTCTCATAATTGATCAAGAGTAAGATTCATTCGACGTAAGAAATCCCATTCGCCCTTTCCAACCTTAGAATATGGACATAGGCATTTAAGTGGAATGATTGGTTGAACAGATGTGACCTCGGTCTTTACCAAAATTGTTGTCGTTTTCAAAGTAATCACTTCAGATATTCCAGGTTTTGTTATTTGTTAACTAGTCACTGACGACTTTCCAGGAGTTGTCATGTTAATCTTTATATATTCTTTTAAATGGTGCCGTATGGTTTCTAACTCTTGTTGCTGACTTTGATTTATATCTCTTCATCTCTAAGATATAATAATGAAAGAATAATAGATACTCTATACAATCAGGATGGCAGCAGGTATAACTATCTAAATGAAAATATTGTCCAGTCCATATAAATAAAGTGTTTAAAAGATCATAAATATGTTTGATTGATAGAGGGTAATACATGAACTTATGGAGTAAACCTTTAAAATTGTTTGAAAACGCTTTCACTGTTTATTTTTCACTCATGCGTTACAGGTTGTATTTTTAATCGTCTTCAGTCAATCCAAGTTGGACATATATTGAACAGATAAAATAAAACAATCGCTAGTTACACAACTTGTTTTTGTAGTTAAATATGAAAATAACACTTTGTAAGTTTTATGCGTCCGAAGTGCTTTTATCTTACCTAATCCAAGGATGTATAAGTATTAAAACACGTATGATCTAAAGGAGATGCGAAAAATACCAGAGGGACATTCAAGTCAAAAATAAACTGACAACGCCATGGCTAAAAAAGAAAAAGACATATGGAAAACCAACAGTACACAAAACACAACATAGAAAACTAAGGACTAAGCAACATGAAACCCACCAACCACGGAGACGATCTCGGGTGCTCCTGAAGAGTAAGCAGATCCTGCTCCACATGTGGCAACCGTTGTGTTGCTCATGTAAGAACAAATCCGGTGATATGTCTAAATAACATGATATAACAAAGTGTAGAATGTTTTTCTTATAAAAATGATATAGTGAAAAAGAATGTAAGCTTAACAAACTACCATTTGTTTAATGATCAAATAAGGATAAAAATTTGAAAAATATGCCTTTATCTTTACCTCTAGGTAAAACGACGATGTTTAAAGATTATCCAAGACTTTATATGTATATCATAGTTTTATCCGTGCGAAATGATAACTGAAGAGACCCCAAAACAAATCTGCAGTTTCATATTAACCATACATTTAGATGTCTACAAAATTGATCGTTTTTTTACACCGAACTCTTTGACACACGTGAAGACTTTCATTTGAAAATAAATATTTTTCCCGGTAGCAAAAATGATATACCATCTTTACCTGTTTAAAGATAAATGAGTATCTGGTTTATAGCTTGTTCGGTATTCCCCAGCTTGCTATGATTTGTAAGACATAAATGTATGTCAACTTTCTGACTTCAATATTCTCCAAGTAGAGCATTTCTCGGTAAAAAAAATTATATTACGATTGATAATGAATAGCATTCGATATGACGTGCTATATCCTCAAAAATACTGTTTTAACGGGGTGATTGCATCCTTGTGATGAATAGTAATGAATAGTATGCATTTCATCCATTACTATTACGATTCAGTGTGAGAAAACAGCTTTTCATACCAAAAATACTTTAACTAAGAGGTTCGTTGGATGCATAAACATATAAACTGTTAATCACCGAGGTTATCACCAGCCCAATAGTTAGTACTTCGGTACTGGCATGAAAAATACGGATATTGTGTTATTAACATTTGCTGTTAAAAAGTTTTGGAATTTAAAAAAAAAATTGGAATATATCTCCCTCTTGCAAAGCTCTGATTCCTTGGCCGGTATGGCTATACTTTTTGTACTTTTTGGTTTACAAACTCTTAATTTTTTTAATAAGTTTTCGATTTTCTAATATTATGGCCTCGAACATCACTGTAGAGAAATTTATATATGTTTATTATCCTCCTTCAGGAAAACCTGAAATACTGAAAGACACACAACTCCATCCTCACTGAATTAAAAGTCTGGTGTTTAGTATTGGTGTGTGTTGACAATATAGTTTGTTAAACATTCCATAAAGGGACACGGTAATATGTGTGTATGTAGAAGCCATAATCCAGTCAAACTTATTACTTATCGGTGCATTTATAAAAACTATTTTAAGTACATCACTTTAATGAATTGATTTCTGATATTTTCTAGTGAAGTTTTTAAAAAAATTGATTCATCTTCTACATGTTTTTGAAAAGAAAACAACGTCAAAGTTGTTTTTGAAAAGAAAACAACGTCAAAGATGATGTTGTCCAAAAAATATATATTTTCCTGCACTATAAATCATTATATCGTCCACTTTCTATTTTGAAGTTTTGAGAAGTTTTTATAAGCTTAACAAAGGTGGTTGTTTTTAGCTTGACCATCTTTTGACATGTTTTAGTTCAAAATAAGGAATTGGTTTGGTCTGTATATATTGTATTGTCAAGTATGTTAGTGTTATTGTTCATTTTTATGAATATACTGTTGTAATTCCAAAGTGTTTTTCCTTTTAATACAGCATGACCAATCCAATTACATTAGAATATTTTGGTAGGTTGTTAGGTTCCTTTAAATACAGCATGACCAATCCAATTACATTAGAATATTTTGGTAGGTTGTTAGGAATTGGTCATACATTTTGGTCTTTTTCGTTTATATCACATTTTCAACTATTTTAAAGATTGAAATAAACAATTAATTTCCCCATAGGCGACAATGATAGCCTTTTTCGAGATACAGACTTTAGAAAGTTGATTTTTTAAACGAAACCTTGCTAGAATTAAAGAAAAGTTATTAGGACAGTATTTTTTGGTCCAAAAAATATAGGTTCGCGTTGCTTTTCTTAGCGTAATTTGTACTTATCTCCCATGCCTATCTATTTTGCACATAAAAATACGTGTCTCATCCTAGCGTTTAAAAGACATCTCAGTTCCGTTAGGGCTAAGGAAAATAATTTATTTGGCCTTTGGTATAATGCAGAATGCACGAAGTCTCTAATAACAAAAAATAACGGGCGCACATATCAACCAATCAGGATTAGCTATACTCTTAATTCTGAATACCATGTTATGCTCATAAAATGGCTGCGCCCATAAAATCTAATGGTGTATTGTAACCTATACGGTATTTAATACTTTCTAGAATCATGCAATTCATAGTTCGTTAGATGCACAAATATATATGCCACACAAAAATCATCATCAAAACGTTCTGGCATTACTCTCTGAATTTTCACAATTTTATATCACAGGTGA